TAGGGCTGAAAGACTTTAATTGTACTAAAACCATTATAATTTGTCGGGATAATATCTTCTTCAGCAATAATTCCGAACAATGGAACAAGATTTTGATTCGAAATCGTGCTACAAGAAATCACTTTAACTCCCATACGTTTTTAAAAAATAGTTGCGCAAAAGAGTCTTCTGTGATTTTCTCCCATTTTTGCTTCACAGGTTAAAACATGAAATTGCGAAGGCAATGAAATTCGTTTAAGCAAATGCATCAAATCGCATCAAATCGCAGTATAAACAACATTAGTATGCTTTTACTTATTGTGCACGTAAATATGATTTCTCCAGATTGTTTTATTATTTACGTATCAAATAAAATAATTCCTTGTTTTATATTTTATTTAATATTTGAATAACTTTACACTCGAACAATTTTCGATTGCTTTCTAAAGATTTTCTTGCACATAATAAGAAAAGAACAATTTTTAAACCAACGATGGTTAAATGATAAAAATTTTTGTAATTAAGTTTGATTAACTTCGTTCAAATAAAACAGCAGGAAATCTGTACAGTTTCTTACGTCAGACTGTGTGTTTCTTAGCTTATTTGAACAATTTAATTACCTCAAATAAGAATTCATGCAAAATCGACTTACGCGAATTTCATGGAAACCGAGTTACTTTCTTTACACTATTTCTGAAACAAAAACGCTCAATTACACAAAATGATTCCTTATAAATTATTTTATTCCAAATAGATTACGCTCAAACCTGGTTTAAGGATACCATAGTTCTGTGCATAATTTAAGATGCTTTGACTGAATTGTCTCATAATTTCTACTTCCGGGAACTATTTATTTATGTTGAGCAGTTTCAATGAATGACGTAGATGCGTGCACACACAGGCCCATCATCAATGTGTACCGCAAATAGACATAGTTTGTTGTTAGACAAGTACGCGCGCCAAATACTTAATCTGCAGTTTGGTTATTTTCAAAATCCAGGGATAACGTTTCAATTACGATGTTTCTTATAAATATAGTATTCTGAACTCGAACGAGTCCAAACCGATCACTTAGAATTTCAAATACCGCGATACCATAACCTTCGATAGCCGAAATATATAGAAAGTGATAAAAATGGTTGTTTCCCCAAAGTCGGTCGTGCAGTTTAACGCGACGGTCACGTTATAACAATTTATGTTTCCACATTCATTGGATTTCCAGATGTTCAATGTTTGTACGATCACGGAATCAAATAAGTTGATCTTGATATTAACTTATTAATTACAAGAATGCATTCATTAAAATCTTAATCAACTTTCATCGCGATGTGCGGGTAAATCAGTGTATTGTATAAATTGCTGCAAAATCATTTCTATAAATTCAATCATTGTAAAACGGCTGAAATCTATATTTTGACTAGGATTTTTTGGTACTGCTAGTATAATATTAATTCGTTCAACACAGATAATATCAAGACTTGGAGGCTAATTATCTTGTGTACAAGTCAAAAATATCAGGTTCGCTTCAACACACCCCCATCAAATTTAATATCACGGACATAAATCACTTGTTGTTATCATTCGAGGAAATTTCCACTCCCTAATCAGCTGAAAAACCCTACTCATTAGTCTAAGCCAAGTCTCTCAGAGTCGGAAATTATCAATTGATTGATAGCATTCCCTAACCCCACGTTGGGGCAGCAGGGGAAACTAGGAAGACTTGATACGTAAAGAGGTCTGATACCATCTTACGTTTCCTACTTTATGAATAAGAAAGAACCGTACATTACGGTGTAGAGTGCTTTCGACAGAACATGATATGTTGTAATAGTTTTAACCGAGGATCGACAGTGTCATGAAACTTCTTTTTATGGATTCCATTTAAAGCATGTGCATTATTTTTGAGAAACGCCCTCACGTTGTAGCTTGAGAACAGATGAAGAAAAATTCTTCAAAATGTATCGACCTTCTTCAGTCTTCCCCTGTCAGCGGAATCTACTTAAGAGGAGAGCTATGTATCTACGCCATCAACGCCTTCTACACCCCTAACGCTATCGACTCCATCCACCGGCTCGGTTTAGAAAATTTGCATATTTTTTTCCAAAATTACGAAGCTCTTGTTTTTGAAACTTTTGAAATAATTTGTATCATGTTCAAGGTATACATGCTAGTTATTTTCGTTGAAAAATATTTCATGAAAATGAATCTTGTTTGCATAAATATTTATAAAATGTCTCACGATAGGCGCTGTAAATTGGTCGGCGTTCTGCAGTTTTTAATTTTTACCAGGAAGAAAAAAAAGAGAGAATATTATTTTTCAATTTTATAAAAAATAAGAATTTAGAATTTTGGTCGGATGTATCCCTGTTGTTTCTGTAACAAAGATTGTTCAATTTACCGTTGCTATACATGTAGATTCGTCGGTGACAGTTAGTCGACTATTATTGAGCTGCATTCATCGGGACATTTCAATTGATCGGACAGTTTTCCCCTATCGTCACCGCCAATTACAAAATAAGTGGTTTCGAGAAGAACGGATATAAAATTTTCAGCAGGCATATTCCACGGACCGTCACGATACTGTTTTAGAAATGATATGTACGTAATTTCTACGAATTTCTGCTTGAAACGCCAGGAATATAATATATATATGTGCTATTATTTATTAAAGAGAAACATCGACCTGTTAAAGACAGAAAAATGAATTTCAGAAGAAAATTTCATCGAAGTTTGATTGTTAAAAATACGATTCGACTGATAACAATAATACTCAACTGAATTTATAACCGTAGACATTTTACGATTAATTGTCGACACAGCCGTGGTTAATTAAAAAAAAAATGAAATTGTCAGAATGCTGAAAAATGTAGGAGTTATGGAACGATAAAAATAATCCTGCGGAACGCGCAGCTGCAGTCGGTATGCATAGTTCCAGGGGGGCAATTGTCTGAAAGTAAAATGCTTTCGGGGTGAGTAATCTCTATGTATATTCAAAGCCGGAGAGTGGAACTCGCTGGCTAAATTCAGACAAACATTGTCGGAATTTTAGGGAAAACATTTCTCTCGAATTTTGTAATGTTTGTTTCGTAACAAATCATTTTGTAATGATTCGATATCCATGCCAGTGTTCCACTCCGCGGAGAAAATTTGAATCAGCTGCCTGGTGCATGCCGTGCTGAGCAGTGGAGTTTCGAGATAAACTGCTTTAAAGTTTGAAGTAATGTTTGAACCGATGTATGAATTAAAAAATAACCTACTACTTCGTTTCTGGTTTTCTCCTTCTTCGTCTGACGTAGCAAGTATGATACGTAGTATTGAATTGTCTATTTTCCCTTATTTCAGTTTTTCTAATACAATATTAAAACATTTTAATCTTTGTGCACTGCACTATAATAAATACAATTATAGTCTCTTCGTCTGCGCATGTTGGTTCCATTAAAACACCGAAGTCCAACGGTGGAAGGAGCCGTAAAAAACATTCAGAATGTTTCACGAGATTGCACAGCTGCTTTCGGTGGAGTGATAAATTGATTTTCGAAATTCAGACAGGGTGATTTCCTGTTCAATTATATCTGTTTTATCTGAGTTAGCATGATCAAGCATTCTATTTATACAATTTTGTGATCCACGTGTTGTACGATGGTTTACGGAATAAAATTTGAAATGAAGGACAAGTTCGGTCTTGTGAAGCCATCAAATGTAGTTTACTTTACTGTGAAGCTGGCAGCACGGTTTTCATTTCAAGCTCAATAAAACTACCAAAAAAAATCATGTATAATATTTCAGGAAATCCTCCTGAAAGGGAACTTTGATCTTCAAACGCATGATAGATTCGTTCGTTTTCGACGATGTTTCAATTTGCAACATTTCCGAATAAACTTGTATCTTTATTGGTGAATTGAGCCGTTTATTCTGAAAGTGGCATAAGTCACTTTACCGTAATGAAAAGTGGTGATTTTTTAATGTTTATATGAAATTATTTATACTGAGAAAAATATCAGTATCCTGAGATAACAAATACAAGTAAATCTTCTCGAAAGTTAGCATCCATATTTTTAAACGTGTTAAAACGCAAACCTTTGAATATATCAACATAAAAACAAAGTGACTTATGCCACTTTTAAAATAAACGGCTCAATTATAAAGGTAGGGGCTTCAAGTTTTAACAGTAAATCTACTATACTGGTCAAAACGACCATCAAGAGCTTTTCATAAAAAATGATTGAATGAATTCAAATATACACTACAATGGAAATAGCGAAAAGTCTCAAATTGAGTTTGAGTCTCAATTGAGTTACGTCATTCTAATAAAACAACGCAGAGAGAGAGAGAGAGAGAGAGAGAGAGAGAGAGAGATTGGTCACTTTTCGTGATCGATAGGTTTAGAGTTCGAAATGTCACATTACTGTACATTCTGATTAAACTCATTAAGTGAATAAATCTCCATTTAACACTGTATTTCTCTTATAATGAAAACGACAAAAGATCTAAGAGCCTAGTCTTATTATTCTTATAGAGCAACACACAATAGTCACTCTTAATGCTCGGTTGGTACAGTGTTGAAGATGTTGTTCCATAACTGTACCTTCCAAATGAAATCATTAAGAGAAGAAATCTCCATTTGATAACCCGAAAATATTGTATTTCGTTTGCAACAAAAATGCCACAAGATCAAACTAAGTTCAGTCTTGTCATTCTCATAGAGCAATACGGATTAGCCAGATTTAATATCCGGCAGGTTTAGCGTTAAATCGAGCGTTAACGTTCGAACCTGTAAAATGCAATCTGGAACCGCTGTGTGTCGAGATTGAGCACAAAATTTTGGCGGCCGCTTAATAAAAGGACGATCGCCATGGCCGAAAAGAAAATGCAAAATGCTCGATTAATTGGTGGCGGGTTGTATCGAGGAGGGTTGTAGGGTAGTTCGAAGGAAAGCCCGAAAAGACAAGGGGGTGAGCGTGGTTGCGCATGTGCGTGCTCGTCCTGAGCACTTGTTACGGGTGCCTCAGTCTCGGCTTGTCTGGGCTGAGGGCAACACGGCCGCGCGTACCACCCTCGCGAACAATCCAGATCCCCGGGAGACGTTCTAAAGATAGAAAACACAGAGAGAGAGACAGGGACCCGAGTCGATCGCGTCCGAAAATCCTGGCTGGTCCACGGGAACGGTCGTGGTCGCGGATGAACGGTCTGTACGAAGCGGATCGTGGCGAATCGCGGGACAGTAGTTACGTGAAAACACGCGGAGGATCGTCGTCGAGCGAGCGGATGTGCCTGTCCGAGGATATGTGCGCGCCAACGACGGTGTCCTCGGCCGTTTTCCTTGGTCCGAGATGATGAGCGAGGACCACGGTGCTGCTAGCTCCTCGATAGCTGGGATCTGGGAACAGGGAAACGTGGCCGGAGTTTGTTAATCGTGTGCGGATCGATTTATTAGGCGATTCGCGACCAGTCAACAGAAATCGCGGCTTGATGCACCAGGTGATTCTCCCAGCTTTATTCCTCTTCTCTCTCTCTCTCTCTCTCTCTCTCTCTCTCTCTCTCTCTCTCTCGTTTTTCCATCTCTATGTCCCTTTCTCTATCTTTTTTTGTTGCCCTCCCCCTCCCCCCACCATCCCTTAAAGAAAACAGATGGAACGGTGAACAGCGTCGTCCGAAAACTACCCTCATTATTCCCCACATGCTCTCACCGTATTTTGTTCCTCGCATTCTCTATGCTCGGTTCCCCCATTTCTTTCGTCAATTTTTCATCGTACACCGATCGATGATTGTGTAGTAATACCTACTATTTATACCGAGCACACCGATATCGATGTCGAATACATTATGTAGCAGTGTTATGTTATACATTATATTCTCTTAAAATATACATGTTCTTTCACCTTCGTAATGCGTTCCATCCTTTAACCTGTGTCGTTCGCTTTTTATTTTATTTTCTTTTTTGTTTGTTTGTTGTCGTCAATCTAAAAACAGTATGCGTTTCAGCTATTGATTCGGTTATTTCCACGCGTTTATTGGTTATCGAGGCTCTAGTTCTTATTCTTGTTTCCGAACGCATTCGATGGACGATGGAATAGCGTGCAGTGAGCTGGATCTAACGGTGTGTCGAGTTTCCTTGCTGTTAATGGGCTTAAACGGATTTTCAATACTCCGAACGAGGTTCTCTTTGTGCATTACGGTTCCCCCGCATTTATCAAAACCGTAGGAAGTTTTTATCGTGAAATCGGACGTTATCATCAAGCCTTTAACTTCGAACAATTTTTAAAACTCGTAATCTCCCCCCCGTGATCTACTTTCTGTAATTAATTGTGCCCTTAAATCTGCAGGCATAATTACACTGTTCCCGGAATCGGAGACACTTTCGCGGCACCGTGTCCAGTGATCTGATTAATTTTTTTGAATATCCGACAGCCGCCTTGTAAAACGCATTCTCGTGAGAAGATCAAATCGAACGATACATGCCCCTTCAAATGTTAGTGTTCAAGCGATGTAGGTCACTGGCTGCACGTGTTCACAAAGCTCTGACAGCAGTAACGTCTTCTGCACTGCTGCGAAAAAATCAAAGAACCGCTAAATTGTGATCGAAAAATTGTCCTTCTTTGAACTGCTCTAACTTTCTGAAAAACCATCATATTATGTTTTATCTAAGATTGTTATAAAAGGGAGACTTCACTCTACGAGACCGTCTCAAACTGAATCCCCCCCAAAAATTTAGTGAAACCCTGTAGACTCGTTGGAATTTGTAATATTTGTTATGGGTCTCCGAAATTTGAAACTGCATCATCTTCGTGGAGGAAAATCGTATGAGAGGATCCCTAGGGTCGTTGCAAAGGGGAGGCTTGGCTCTACAAGTCCATTTCAAGATGAATCGGGAGAAAAATTTACCGTACCCAGCAATATTATTTGAATTCACAAAATTTTCTAAAGACCGAAACTAGTTTCAATTTTTTTAATATGTTTTTTAATATGAATAAATCTTGCACGATATTGAACCTATAAATGTAAAATTAAAAGCAGTGCCCTTTAAAATGAGTCCAGACAGGCTGTCGTACGATTGTTTTTCACAAAGTTACAGCTATTCAAAGATCGACAATTTTTCGGTCAAAATTTAGTGATCCTTTAATTTTGTCGAGTAGGATATCTGTTCTGGAGATTCGAGACGTCAGATAATATCTCACGAGCGAGCTAAGCACGCCTTTCAAACGTTTGATGTAGGAAAATCGGAAAATCCTTGAGGCGTCTCATTTTGGTCGCAAAACGGACATTTAGGAGACGTACAGCTGTTCTACAAGAGACTCGCTGTTAGAACCTCTACAAAAATTAATACGTGTGTAAAAATTGTAATATTATGTATACAAAGTACGCACACTCGAAATACTAAAACCATCTCAAATTGGTTTAATTAAACCGAAAGCAAATCAATTTTGCAAGAGGATAACGACCCGAAACATCGAAGCCACGTTTGCACAGAATGATTGGATTGACATCCCAGTCACCCGATGCAAATCTCATAGGAAATGTTTAATCCAGACAATTTTTATTTTATATTACTCGGAAAATATACAGATCACCACATGCTTCATTTTTGAAGACAAAAATGTATGTTAAAGTTAACAATTTGATTTACCCGTGTACGAAAAATATAGAGGACACAATACGCTTCGGTAGAAAAAGCATGCTGAACCGCTGCCAAACTATAATTGATAATTAAGCTGGTCAAACTTACTACGTTACGTAAGAGTGTGTTAATGTGTTAGACGTACTTTCGATCCATACTAAATTTTGCACAAATATGGTAATGTTTGCGGAGATAGCATCAGTACGCTCTCGTGGGACACACTGTAAGACGTCTTGCAGATGTCTTATTTAGATTGTGTTTTAATCTACAGGGTGGTCTCTTCGTATCGCTTCGAGGAATAGCCAGCTTTTTGGAAGATAGAACATCGCTCACGGTCATAATAGCTGTCAACCCCTCCGTAGCATCCCAGACTGATGGTGTTTGGGTGCTCGAAGTGGGGTGGACAGCCACGATGGCTGTCGATGCATCCAGGCTATCTTCTTCAAATATCCAAGTTGATTTAATATATCTGCAGATAAATTGACTTGCAGTCACTCGATATTCCATTTTATTTACACTCTGACTGCCATGCTGGTCACGTAACAGTATTTTTTGATCGGGTACAAAAATTCAGATTTATCTTGAAATGTATTAGAGTAAACTTTATTTTGATTTTATTTAACGTTCGCTACCACTGTGTCACATACGTGACCTTCACGATTTATCTATGTTCATAAACATTGTTAAATTTATTTTATGTACGTTGTTATGTAAGGTCATATTGTATATAGCATTATATTCAGAAAATCCATAAATTTTTTCTGTTAAATTGCTTTAATATTTCGTAAACGAAGAGGGTTGCATTTAATAAAATATTTAAATAATAAAAATGGACAGCAGAAAGATAAGGATAGTAAATATGTTATCCATTATCTTTTCCTCGAGAAATTAAGTATTAGACTAATAATTGTATTTGCACTTCTTCGAATAGAACATTATTACAATAGTTTATTATTATTTATACATTACATTTCAGAACTAATAAAATTATACTTACTTGTATTAGAAATAGACATAGTACAAGTCAGTGAAATCTTTTCAAATGATCTAAAAATATCATTCTGACTTAAATGTTTCTTCAGTGTAAATGCAGTAAATTCAGTGTAAATAAATCTAGTTTCAAAAATGGAAATGCGAAACGTATTCATCGTAAATTGCGTTGTCTTTAAATAATGTGGTTACAGAAAATACTGTCGAACATATAGCGCACTGGACAATTAAAATTTTGTCTTTTAATTCCGTAACTTAAAATATTCCGTTATCTTTTCACTTTGAGATTTACAGTGAATCATCATGATTCCATTCGCACATTTATACTGTTCACGTTTTTCTCCCCATTCTTTTCTGTCAGTCACACTAACCACTTATTCCGGTGACTCAGTAACTTAAAAGCTACTTTGTAGATTTCACTTTATTTTCAGCTTTTTATAACCATGCCATTCTCATTGTTCGTTTATCTCGCCGCATTGGGTTAATGCCGTGATACTCTGGCTATGTGTTTTAGGCTTCCCTCTAATTAGTTTATTAATTTATTCTTTTACCAGCATTCCGGTATTGCAAAAGAAACTGAACATAATAATTTTATCAGTATTTTCTTCTTTCTCGTGTTTACGATGCTTTACATTTTCTTAATAATCTGTTTCAGTCACACTGCATATTTTTATTAATTTATTTGTGCATTTGAATCGTTGCATTCGTAAATCTCTTGCGTTTCCTTTCAATAATATCATGCAACTGTGTGCATTATTGTTTCCTGCAGGAATCTATTCACTTGTCAGTTTTGTATAAATGACCCTGGTTTGTTCATAACCGTATGATTGAATCTTTCCATTTCAGTAACCGTTTACTCCGTCCACTATTACAATATTGTATTGTTTATGCAATTCCTGGTATTATATTCCTCGTTATTATCGTTCTGTGGTTACCTGCCATATGCGTGCATACTTTTACGACGTCTGTGGTTTCACTCTTGTTTGAGAGAAATCAAAAGGCGTCGAAAACTATGTTTTTCATTACATGTGACAGGTTCCAAAGGTCAACTTGGTCCATAAATTGTGAATTCATATTTTATCGATGTGAAAAAGAGTTTACAGAAGATTTTAGTTCGAATCGTTCTATACGTTATGGACTATTGGTGTTACAATGTAAGTGTGTCCACTTTGGAATTGAAACATTGACGACGCCGTGAAAGCTTAGACATACACTTTTCTTGTTGCAGTTCTATGTAGTTCACCAGTTGACCGTTGCAGTTAGGTAGAGCACGCTATTCCAATAAGACGTTTCGAACACTGTCGGTAATTCAGGATCGTGGGCAAACAATTACGTGGCACGGGAGCCTTAATTTCGCACTAGCGATACCGCTAATCAGTATCAAAAATAGATAAAAACATTTGACAGGTGGAATAGAAAATTGAAATAGAAAGATCGGGATCTCCTCTGCATATTTATGGGTAAATACAATAAATATTAAAAAATCAAACTTGTAAGATCAAAATTAGACTACCTCTGAGATCGTGCACGCGGCAATACATAAAATATCTTCTCGAACTAATTTTTTGCTGAAATTTTAAGGTTATCTCGCATGATTTTTCTCGGATGGATTTGCATAGTTTTAATTGCATCGAACGCTGCAGTTCGATGCAATCCACCGCTAAAAATAATGTGGGAGAGGGAAAAGCATGGACAGCTTTTTAATTTAAATATTGTAATTCAGTAACGGCGGTGCAACACTCACCTTTTTAAAGTTGATATTCAAAAGTACGTCCTTCAGGCTGAATGCAGCGAATCAATCGATATCAGAATTAAAATATCTTCTAGATTAATTACTTCTTGGCATAGATAGCTTAATACTTTTTTATAGGGAATGACGAGCTGCATCGATTAATGTCTTAAAATATATCGTTAGCTCCAGAATACGTCGCTCGGAGCTACGGTTATACAGGGTGAGGCACTTAAAACAGGCCACTTGAATAACTGGGCTGCTGTCGGCGATAGAAAAAGTGCGTCAGACCAAACTTGCTTCATGCTAAGTGGGGCATGATCCGCGGTTTAGAGTTTTTCGTAGGCGAACGCGTGAAAAATTGTCCAAAATGTCTTCTCCATCGTTCTTTTTCATCGATGCACGCATTTTTTCCAATCATTTTCTAATAGAGCGCTTCGAGACGCGTACATTGACCCATGATTAAAGGTCATTCGAGGTTGTTGAAGGTCAACCATGATGGAAAACAATTTACTCCAAGGATTCGAACGAATTTATTTGATCGATTTATTGCTGCCATGAGAATTCTGCAACGAGGCACTAGAACCTATAACATTAGCAAAAGTTTCTATACACTGATTATCGTCGCTGCATTTGCAGCAATTAGCTTCTTTTGCGAAGACTAATACTGCAAAAATCATCCTAAGAACGTAACGAATTTCTGGAGTTGTGAACGAATGCACTAATCATTCGTACAAGTGCATAGTTTTCTCTTTCCTTAGCATTTGGGACTTCAATTAACGATTTTGTTCTATGGATTTAAAAATCAGCGTCCTCAAAAACTTAAATTACGTACTTGAAAGCCTTTCAGAAAATTTGCCCATAATTCCTGCGCCTTTGTAGGATTCGTATCAATATTGATATCTTCGGCGGCATCGATGCATGATTGCTTATTTGGATCAATCTCTTCTCGTCCATTTCTTCTTCCAACTCATGCAGGTGGCATTATAGGTATTCCTGTATATTTACAAAGCACACAAAAATATTGATATACGTGCACTAAAATTGGATACTCTATGTGTGCATACAAACGCATTCCGTGCTATAGATAGCGCCATTGTGTGGATACAAATGTTTGCAAATCCTTGATCACAGCTTTTTACATGCCACAACGTTCCTTCAAATTCAAGAAAGTCACTTCGCCTGTGAATGTCTTATACGAGCAAAAATACGAAAACTTGGCGCCATAAATATCTTTTATGGCTTTAACAAACTTCAAACTGCGTCGCGGAGCAATTGAAACTCGAGCATTCTATTACGAGAAAACTAAATTAAAAATGTTCGCAATTATTTGTGTGAAGCGAGTGAAAATAGTTTTCGTAGTAATAAGCTAACAAGAAATTAGAAAAAGAAACATTTCTTAAAATGCTAAACATATTTTCTTGGAAAACTGAATTTTATATGGAAGTGTTAAATAGTAAAAACATACACAAATGTTGTCAAGCGTCGTCAAAAGCCTTAAAAGGTTAATTTTATTTATTTTTCATAATTAACACGTTGAGTGTCGACGCTTAAAATTCCCACAAAATAAAAGTAATTTAATTAAGCGAAAATGAAGAGTTAAAATTTACCACAGGCAATATAAATTTAACTCGTTAGTATTTCTAAAAGTCCAAGTAAAACTCGGCTCGTGCGAATATATTATGAGAAAAATGAATTTCAAAAATTCGTCAAAAATGCGACCGACGCGGCACTCGGCGTGTTAATTTACATATTTTAAACTAAGATCGATACTACAATATCCGATCTGCTAGAATTTTGCGTCATCTGTTACAATCGAAGACAATTCACCCTCGCCCTGTCCATCATTTCCATCTCCACGAGAATCGCACCGTTCTAACCAGCGATCTTCTGCGTTTCTTCCAGTAGAAATCATCAGCATCGCTTCATCGCTGGAAAGGTCGGGTCGAGGAAGCGCACGAAGAAGTCGATGGACCTGCGATACGTCTGATCAGCAAGCCGAGGCCCGGCGGACATGGCTCGCAGAAATTCACCGTATCTCGAATCCTCCGAAATAAAGTAAATGATCGAGGGACAAGGGAACGCCGGAAAATGGGCGAGCCGGAAGTTTTTGTGTGAACGCGGAAGCTTCGGCGATCACGGGACTAAATTACCGATGATTTAACGCTATCGGACATCGTAATGGCAACCGTGACTGTTGCAGATTAGCGATTAAAGACAATTACCATTTCGAAAGAAAATTTCCTAGGAGAATTTCGAAGGAATATTTCGAGGGAACGTTTCGCGAAAAGGTTTGAATATTAGTGGCCCGGTGGTTCCGTTGGTTCGGCAGTGATCGTGCGCAGCCATTGCTTGATTAAACTCGGCCGGGCGTTTTTCGATCGAATTGGTTCCCGTCAGGTGACGATTTATCTTTGATGCGCGTCGCGGAGATTAATGAGGCTCAATTGGGGAGACGGGGTTTGGATTAGGTCCGGAAAGCGTGGTAATTGCTCGGCTCCACGGGGAGCCGTGGTGAGTGTGCCGGCGGTTCTTTATTTTCGCGAACGAAAGGATCGAGCTGCTGCGACATGGGCTGCGAGCTTAGCAAATTGGCGACCGCGAAGTCGCAGAACCAAACTCCCACGGATCCACGGCTTCCGCTCACAGCGAAACAGAAATTTACGGTTATGGCCAGCTGGAAAGCCGTATCCAGGGCACTGGAGCAGACTGGTGTCTACATGCTCATAAGGTTCGTAACGGCGATAAGCTCCTCTGCGGAGACACAGTTTTCAAAAGTTTGTGCGTCTTGCACTCGGTCCTGGCAACCAAGTTTCACGGAACTTGTGTCCTCGGATTTTAATTATTGTCGGTCTCCTCGCTATGTTAACCGCGGTGCTTGAAGGGGTCTTCTGGTCTAGACGGTTATTTCGTTTGCTCTCTTAACGAACCTTTTCCGTTAAATCCCTGAATCGTATGTTTGGCAATGTTACAAAAATACACGGAAATTTTTTCATGCAAAAATGAATTTGAAGCCACTTTACAAACATCTTCCATTAGTAGATTGAATATAAACTGAGACAATGAACATATATATATAATAGCTTCTTTCCTTGATTCTTCGTACATTTTGATAACATTGAAGTAAGAAATAAAATGTCAACTTATATTTGAAATATGTTAAACAAAATATCACCGACAGCCAATCAAAATGAAAACGTGACTTTCAAGTGCATTAGATTTCATATTTCGAGAAATAAATAATGTAAAATAAAAATAATTTTTTCACATTATTTTATCATGTTATCTCCACTGTTCAATTTGTACAATATCAGATTAGAATTTTAGTGGCATTATCAGATGTACGCGATTTCATGAATATCTCATAAGTAAGAACACAAATGGTTACTATTACTTTTCACATGCATAGGGCGAGAAAACATTGAAAAATCACAAATTTAAATTTAGAGTCCTGAATTTTTTTTGCTTATCAAGATTTTTACATCTCCCTAGTAGCATTTTTTTCAGTTGAAATTGCGAAAAACACACAATGTTGCACATGTTCCCTGCTACACTTCATTGTTTAAACAAGTGTTTCTCTAGGTTATGTTGAACGATTCCGATAGTTTCGTAGTTCTCTGGAAAACTAAAAATGAACACTATAAGACGATAGAAGTCTCGTTACAATATTCCAATTGTAAATAATTTGTATGATCATCGAAAAATGAAAGAGTAACATTAACTTGTACACCTAATATACGTACGAAACCATAGAACCGTAGAATCCATTAATTTAATTTAAAAAAAAGTTCGCTAAGGAACTAAAGAAAATTATCCCCTGGACCAGAAAACTCCCTGAAGGAACTCCATTTTTATGGCATCGGTCACAGAAATGAGCTCTTTCTAGTTGCTAACCTTGTCGGGTTTATCCGCTGTCTGGTGCTTGCAAACGATTGTTTCCTAAATATCATTTTAGATAAATTGGGATGTTGTATATGAGAAAGTGTTCGTTTGAAATGTTCAAGGTTACTTGGAGATCACTTGACAATTTTTAAATGCGATTTTTACTCCCATATTATGACCGGAAAATGCGAATTTCTAAAGCTTATTTCAAGAACTCTTGATTCAGTGCGAAGTCGCGACAGAGAAAAGATCGTCGTCGTCCATTTGTTTAAAGTAAATGGTTTTTCATGTGGGGAAATATGTAAACGTAGAACATAAAACTTGATCTTCATACGTTTCAACAATATTTCCTTCATTGCAAGGTTTACTTCATCCAAAGTCACTTGAGAATAGGGTCTTAAATTTGCATTTTTTCGCTCGAATAACCTTCAAAATTTTCAACGAACAATTTTTTATTTGCACCATTGTAATCTACTTTTATAATACATGTTCTCGTGTCATTTAACATTTTGGTGTTATTCGAAAGGACGAAAATCGGCGAACACCCTGTATATTGTAAATCACGTGCTCATCACTTTAAGAAATGCGAAATTGAAAGAACTTACGATGAAAATCACGATAGAACCGTCAATAAATCCTTGCATAAAAGTTAGCCGAAAATATAGGATCAAATTTCTTCATATAGGGTTTCATTCTCGAGAAAATCAGGTTTGAAAATTCATTAAATACGCGTGCGCTTAGACACGGTTTGATTCATTTGCCCGGACTGTCAAACCCCATTGTATCCGCACGCGTATCCAACAAATATTCAAATTCGATTTTCTCGGAGATATATAAAAAAATTTTATTTCATATTTTCGCCTCAGTTTTATGTGAGGAATCACTTCCTTACCTTCCGTATCGGGATTTTCCGAACATCCTGTATAAAGTAATTAGAAATTAGACTTAAACAAATATGCCAATAACTGTATCTGACTCATACTTGTATCATACGTGGCTTGCACACTTGCTCACTTGTATCACACATACATTTAAAGTATCCGCAGTTCTATGACTCACTAAGAAACGTGTCCAACTAAAATCAATAACCTTATCATTTTGTGTTCACCGTTAGAAACTTTTTAGCCAATGAAATTAAATATATCTCATTGCTCCGCCTATTATTAAACACTCCACAAGAATGGAAATCTGCAGTGTGCTAATTGCATATCTATATCATTTTTACTGATTATTCGCTAACGCGCTTCACATACTAGTAAAATAAAAACTACTCAAATTGAATAGAACGTAAATCTCTTAACATAATATACGCGGGTAAATAATATGAGTACGAACGTACTCAGGACTCGAGAATTACTATAGAATCAACCACTTGAGGTTTAAAGAGCCTCGTGCTCAGCTCATCTTGCGAGGAAGAATAGTTTTCTTCCATTCGTTCTTGATAAGTGCAATTCCTTATATGTGGGTTACCCTCGTCGTATGACATGCGATCAGGTTGTGTCGTTGAGAATCTGCAAGGACATCATTAACGTCCGGCGCAGAAGTAGTCTTATATCCGTCGATTTTGTCTTCGTTTCTATGCGATATGTTTGTGCAATTTAGATCGTCGCGGTCATTCCTTTTCTGAATAAAGTATCTATTTCTTCAATTTTCGCAAAAACTTGAAAGCTTAGGAGTTCGATATTCCTTTATATCCGTAACAATCTGCTTCGCGAATTTTGCATCTATTTCCTTAATATTTTTTAGGTAGACGATTTTGTTTATACGCCTGTAACAATTTCGTTTGCGAAATATGTAATGTCTGCTGTCCCCGGTGTACCAATTTCGATGGAAAATGATTTGGAACGATTGTGCAGGCTGTCTCTCTTATTTTATGACATTTTATTCTAAATATAACGGTTCGATGCGCGATAATATTATCGATAAACTTTACGACACAGGCCAGCGTGACGATAATTAACCTGGACTGTCACTTTCAGCGGCTACTTCTTTTTTTATCTGTTGGCAGATACTAGAGAATCTATCCCCAATTTTTGTCTGTCAGATACACGCCGTTCCTCTTTATCTGTCGGCTGCCCCTTTGTTCATAGTAGAACAATAGGTTTCTTGATATTGGCGTATAATAACCGAGCGTAATTGACGTACTTATGTAAGTTCGCTAAAAACCGGGTTCTAGGTATTATACTTAGGGAAGACGATTATTAGGACATCTCGAGAATGTCTGATAATCATATGTGTAGACTGGTTGCAACGTTTTAATTAGGCAATTACGGATTGAGATTATTTAGCGAAAGCAACTGCAGATATTCCGGGTATTTTTTTATTTAAATAAAAATTGGTACAACTTGCAAACAGTGTTTGTAATACATGTATAATCAATAAGAAGAGAACTTCAAGCGTAAATATTTAGAAGGAGAATGAAAAGAAGTTAACAGGTTGATACAATGATGATAGTTTTCGGAAACAGTAAAAGAACAGTTTGTCGAAACCTTTTAGTGCCAAAACAGGTAAAAAAATCTGTAGAAGCTGTTCAGCAACAGGTGGCTGAAAGTTAGAGCGATTTTCCAATGCAAATAAAGATCACGATCTAATCACTTTTGTTAGTTTCGTTGTTAACTGCGTTTATTTGGATGAAATTAAATTTCAATGAAACATGGACATAGAAAAGACGATTGCTTTTGTAACCTTCTTACACCTCACAGATCCGAACAAAGTTTGACTTACTTCATCAATTTTTTGATTCCATGAAAAATTGTTTCAATCGTATACGAACTATGTGACATTCGTAGTGTTGAATGATCTGTCATCGAAGCCGTAGTTCTCTTCTAATGCCACCTTTCCCGCGGTAATTTCAAGAACATTAAAAATTCAATTCACGATATAACAAACTTGCTAACAGTATAGGGTATGACGGAGCTGACAATGGACGTCAGCCAACTCGTACGCATCACTTGTTACAGAACTTTGCACACAAGTGGAGCATCGAAAAATATTCGACATGTATTTTTTTTATAGCCGCCTGTGTTCATGTTTATGTGGTGAAACCAACTGGCGAAAACACGTGTCAAAAGAAGATTCCGTCACCCATAGCGAAAGCTATCGAAACCCACGTTGTACACAACATTTTCGAGGATCCAAAAGTGACACGCCAGTGAACTTCGAATTTTGTTATTTTCCAAGCGACATGTTTGCAATTTTCAACAAATGATTTCCAAGTCGCAATTATCAAGGGTCAAACGGCCGAACCCGAAACTTTTGCTCGATTCGAAATATTCCATTCATACGTCTCACCCCGTATATTCGCGGCAACACAACGTTGTTTCACCTGACCACTGTGCACTCATGCATTCGTCTATAAAATCAATAATAATATAGTAAGGGTTAGACCCAAATATCCATCAACATTTCATCTAATATTAGACTCCACGTATACTCGGTGTTCTACGGTGTCGTTCAATCAATGTGGCGCTCGGTAGAAAGTTTTCAAGCTTGCATGAAATAACGTGCAGTGACAGAACTTGTCTTGCAGTGCTCACAATGCAGCCTGGTTCTACCAGAATGGGTCAGCCGGGCGTCTGTTCCAACAATAACCAGGAGTTGCTTTTACGACCGATTTTTCCTCGCAAATGAATTTCATATACATCAATTTTTCAAATCACTCTGCTCCCAACAACTGTTCTCTTTCTTAATTATTCCGACAGCTTGTAGAGCAATCTGAACACATCCATTAACAACAACGATGTCATCTTCCTTGATGCACAGCAACGAAATATCATGACAACATAACCTTTAGATGAGTAAAAAAAGTAACGCAAAAGGCTAATATGCGTGCTTAACAGCGTTTTAGTT